AAAAGTTAGTGTTGACGGCTCGAAAGGCCCCAAAAAGGTGATATTACTACTTGTGAGACAGCTCGGGAAATGTACGTACCAAAATCGGACCCCGCTGACTATCTGGGCTACCCGAATCTAGGCACTTGGAACCGCCATAGGAACCCGTGGGCAAGGGGGGGACTCTCTCCTGTCCAGCGAGCGGCTCCATTTCCCGCGATCTTTCTCACGGCTTGGAATAGTTTCCGGCGCAACAAACAATCAGCTGATCATAGCGTTCTGCAGCGCATGCGCAGCGAGCATTCACACTCGCGCAGTGTTGGAAAGCGCGAGCAGACAAATTCCAGCCACAGCCAAAATTTAAACTTAAATTTAAGCCGTAAGCATTTCTACCTGAATTTAAGTTCTAATACAACTTGAGATCTAACTTTAATCTAATTTAATTATAGTTTAAGCCTTGGATTGGATTAAGGTTTGAATTTGGGAATTTGGGTTTGAATTCGAACACGAATTCAAATCTAGACTCTAGGGTTCAAGCTCGAATTTGGTCTACACTTAGATTATTGGGATCCAAATTTAAAACAGAATTGGAGTTGAGTTGGAACTTAATTTTGATATAAAACTTGTTTAATTTGAATTTAAATTCCAAATCCGGACCTGAACTTAAGGTTGAACTTGGGTCCAGATCTAGATTTGAACCTTGATATTTAAAATAAATTTGCCTTAAATTTGAGTTGGGTTTCGGCTCGGATCTAGATTCTATATTTATTTGATTCTAGATTTTAGTTGGATCAAGACTTGATTTGACTTGAATTCAAGGTTTAAATCAAGCTTGGATTTGTGTTTAAATTAGGGTTTAGGAATTTTCATTCGCATTCCGTAGTTGGCTCTGGTGGGGCTAAGAGCACAAGGCCAAGGAACTCGTTATTTTCAAACCCCTCCGCTAAGGCGGCGCCGATTAAAAGGGGCTCTGGGGACCGAGAAGGAGCGGTATAACTCCCATCAGGCATTCGCAGGGGGAAATCCCCGCGCACCGAGGGCCCCCCTAGGAGCAGGTGCGATGAGCGAGGAGAAGCTGCGACCAGGTAGCGAGAGCTGAGGAGCGACTCAAGCAGAAGGTCCAACACTCGCCCCCGGCCAGCGCGCCGGAGATTCACCCGGTGTCAGCGCCGCCGAAGGTGCATCTGCCAGTTTTTGTCTTCGGCGACATAAACGAGGAGCAGGCAACCCCGAAGCGAAGCTGGGACGCGGTGAGCCCTGACGGGAAGCAGGTTGAAGCCCACAAGAGGCAAAAGGTCGAAGCTAATGCCCCAGCGCTAGTTGAGAAGCTAGGATCAATGCTCGACGAAATGATCGCGAAGTCTACCGATACTAAGAGCAATAACAAGAAGGTAGTACGGCACGTCACGCAGGGGACGATCGATTCGATGCAAGCTATGAAGAAGCTACAGCATTGTGCCCGAAAGCAGACCGAGAAATGCGGCATGGCAGCAGGTCAAGGCAAAACCCAGACCTAAGAGCATAGAAGTCAAAGCTGCGAGCGGCGATTAAAATGGGAGCCGTGCACCTCAACCGGCAATGCCCAGGAAGCAGCGCGCCGACGCAATCATAATCAAATGTAGCGAAGGTACATACGCAGACATGCTCAAGATTGTCAAAACTGAGCCCTCTCTACAGGGACTCAAGGACAATGTGCAAGGACTGCGGAGAACAGTGAATGGTGGACTCCCCTTAAGGATGCCGAAAACCCTGGACCCATCCACGCAGCAGCTGCGAGCCCTAAAGACTGCCATCTCCGGCAAAGCATAGGTGGCGGTTATCCAGGAGATGATTCAAGTGGAGATTCGCGACCTGGATGACATGACCAGCGCGGGGAGGTCATCATGGCCCTGTTTACGGGAGAAGAGTGCGACATACCACGAGACGCCTCACCTAGGATGCGAAAAGGGTTCGGCGGAACCCAAATAGCGATGGTCAACCTTAGACCAGAGCATGCGCGGAGGTTGCTCGAAAAGGGCAGAATCCGGATCGAATGGGTCGTATGCCGTATCCGAGAAAAAACCGAGCCAAAGCGATGCTACAAATGCATGGGCTTCGGACACACCTCGGCAAGATGCCGAGCCTACGACGCAATAACTAAAGCCACACAGGAGTCATGCTTTAAATGTTGTGGCACGGGCCACAAGCACAATACGTGCATCCTATGCACCCGAGGAGGCAAGCACGCGAAGGAGGCAGAGTACGCTACAATGAGCAGGACCTGCCCAGAATACCAGAGGGCCGTCAAGCACATGCAGAATGGTTAAGTTCCTCCAGCTTAACCTAAACCACTGCAGAGCAGCCCAAGACTTACTGTCGCAGACGGCTATCGAGCAGAGAATCGACATCGCCACACTGAGCGAACCCTACAAGGCAAAACCAGAAGGAGTATGGAAACAAAGCGCGGACGGTGGGGCAGCCATCTAGAGCTGTGGAGAGCCTCCGGGCCACCTATCGCAGAGAGCTTCGAGACCTGGCTACGCCAGGGCCAAGTGCCAGGCGACTACAATATACAGTTGCTACCCTCCGCCGAGCATGCACATAGATGCATTCAAGGATGTAATCCAGGAGATTGCCCAAGACGCCCGGGGACGATCCCCGGTAATAATTGCCGGGGACTTCAACGCGTGGTCCACCGCATGGGGGAGCACGGCAACAACTCAGAGGGGAACCACTAGATGCCCTGGCGACCTTGGATGTCTGCCTCCTTAACGATGGAGGCAAATGCACATACTGCAAGGCAGGCCGAGAGTGACCTCCTCACCTACGGCGACCATGCAGCGATAGTCATAAAGACGAGTCACTACCTGCCGGGCCTAACCAACCTTTAAACTGCCTACAAGGTAGGCACCCAAAATGTCGAGGCGCTCTTAGAAAACATGATGGTAATACCATTTCTGGCGACGCAAACACCTGCGCGGATGTGGTATCTGCGAGGATCAAGGAAGCTTGCGATGGGGCAATGGAAGGCGACCAGTCCCCTGGTGGAACCAAGAGATAGCCACAGCCAGGAGAGAGTGCATCTCTGCGAGACGGAGGTGTCAACGAAACCGTGGACGGCCCATGCTTGAGCTATCTGAGTCTCGCTACAGGGAAAGGAAAAAAGCCCTAATGGTGGCCATTAGAGCAAGCAAGAGAGAGTGCTTTCAGCAGCTGTGCGATGAGGCAGACCAGGAACCTTTTGGATCTGCCTACAAGCTCGTCATGGGTAAGCTCAACAGACAGACCCCAACAGCCCAGGAACAGCTTGGAGCGATAATCTCCACCCTCTTCCCTGCACAGCCGCCTCTAATGCTACCCAGTATAGCGGCGGGCGGAGCTATTATCACCAGCGAGGAGGAAGTCCTGAGCGCGGTGGCCAGTAGCAAAATTTCCAAGGCCCCGGGACCAGATGGCATCCCAAACGCGGCATTGCACGCCATAATCAAAGCAAACATGAGCCTATTCAAAGAGCTGTACAACAAGTGTATCGGCGAACGTACCTTCCCGAGAGTCTGGAAGCAGCAAAGGCTCGTGCTTATCCCGAAGCCAGGCAAACTGAATGACGATCCCTCCCCCCTCTGTATTGTGAGGAGTCGTTTGACTCCCCACAAATACTGCCAGCCGGCCGCAACAACGGCCACCCACGCCAGCAACAACAACGGCCACCGACGACGGCCACCAGCAGCCGCGTCATCAACAACAACGGCCACCGACGCCGGCCACAACAACGGCCACCAGCAGCCGCGTCAGCAACAACAACAGTGACGACGGCCACAACACCGGCAAACAGCTCGCGCCAGAAGCCCACAACAACAACAGCTCGCGCCAGCAGCCAACAACAACGGTAGCCAGCGCCAGCCGTCGACAACAACAGCACCCGCAGTCAACAACAACGGCAGCCCGCCGCCGGCAGCAACAACAAGCGCAGCCAGCGGCAATAACGACAGCGGCCAGCAGCCGGCAGCAACAACCACAGCAGCCAGCGGCAATAACAACAGCCGCCAACGCTCATAGAGAGCTACAACAAAGGCAACAACAACAGCCGCCAACGCTCATGGAGAGCCGCAACAGCAGCTAGCAGCGAAAACAAAACCAAAACAAACCGGCGTCGGAGCAAAACAAAACGCCCACGAATCATTTCTCAATTTGTAAAATAAACTTTGTATATTTCCAGTTTACGATTTGTATTATACCTAATTAATAATTGTATAAATTTAAGCTTAAACGATAATATGTAGTTATCTTTTGTTCCCCGTTCTCGCATCACTAGCGCGCACACACACACACACACACATCCAGATACGTACAAGTGATATACGTACAAGTTGTGTTTCCACCGCGCTCCGCTAAATTATCCTTTTAAGTCGGTTAAGCGTGTCAGGCATCCTGAAAAAGGCGTGTAAAAAGGCGTGTAGTGTAGTGTGAGACTCCCAGGTACACAGGTACGTACCCGGATCGTTCCTGGTTTCGGCTCCACTAGGCTCCGGACGCCCAAAAGTTTTTCGGCAATCCAAGCCGCCTCAGGAACCGGTGGACAAGGGGGAGGGGGAACTCCAGCCTCTCTTCCCAGCAGACGCCTTCCACTCTTACTTTTGCGCTCTCGCTGCTTTCCACTTTCCACAAGCCTTTCCCCGCGTTTTCTTTTTGGCACACAAACACAGCTGATCGCAGCTGATCCAGTGTTGGGTAACGCTATCGCGGGAGCTTGTACAGCCGCGCTTAACAGCACACTTTAGTGTTGGACAGTGCTTGCGGTTAAGCCTTCCCGCCCTGTGCCGTTTTAAATTTTAAATTTAAATCGGCATATTAATTAATTAATTTATTAATTATCAACCCGGAACCGTGCAAGGTCGCGCAGCTGGCAGGCGGAAAAAGGTCTCGGATCTGACCAATTCCCGATTCCCCGCCTAGGCGGTGTCCCGAGCAACGGGCTTCGGGGACCGAGTTGGGGGGAAATTCTTGGCCAGCGTGGGAGCCCTGCGCGGACTGACTAGCCGGATATGGAGGAGGAAAACCCTTTGGCGGGCAGGTCTGCACTAGCGAGTTCGCCATGTGCACCGAGGGATGAGGAGGAGGAGGCGGCGTTCGGGAGGAGCAATAAGCTCTCCCGTACGCCACCGATGTACGAGGCCCAAGAAGGTGGGCAGAGCACAGGCTCTACGCCGCCCCCTAAGAGGTTGAGGGACCCGGCCAAGAAGAGCAAGGCGTCAGAGAAGGCAGCCTGCCTGCAGGATCTGCAGAAGATGGGCAATCTATTGCAGGAGGTCTCATCTAGAATGATGGATAAGTCGACCCGGCATATTACCGTGCCGCTGAGAGAAATGATTGCCAGTGTGAAAACCCTGCACTCGAGCATCCTTGCAGCAAGCAGTGCGGCCGCGGCAGGTGTCAGCGACAGGCAGGAGAGCCGGGTCGCAAACAACCTGTGCCGGAAATGCGCCCAGATCACCAAAAGCGCGGACAAGGAGCAGCAAACGGTGACCGCCTGGAAAAAGGAGGCTTCGGTCCAAACCGAGCCTTGGAGAAGGCTAAGCCAGCCAGATGCGCCGGGATTACCCGCACCGGTGCTGGCCCCGCCACTCCCTCGCCCAGCAGAAAAGCGCAAGGGCGCCCAAGAAGCCCCGTGCGAAGCCGCCATCGGCGGTGCATGATGCATCGGAGCAGCATAGGCCAGCCCGGAAGCCTGAGAGCCAGGCAAACCCCGAAAACGACTGGGAGGTCGTGGCGAGGAAGCCGAGAACAGCGCGCAGCACTCGCCCGGACGCTGTCATTGTCCACGCGAGTGGCAAGTCCTACAGCGAGGTGCTCGCAATGGTGACGAGGAGAGAGGACAAGCAGCTGTCGGACCTGGGACGCTGTGTGTCAAAGGTTCGCCGAACCAACAACGGCAACCTGCTCCTGGAGGTGGCGAAAGGTAGCGCCGAGAGCGCCACGACAATGAGGGAGAGCATCGAGAAGGTGCTCGGAGATATAGCGTCGGTGCGCGCAACGACAGAGGACTCAAAAGTCCTCGTCTTGGAGGTGCGCAATATCGACCCGATCGCGACGAAGCAGGAGGTCTGCGCCGCCCTCGCGGGCCAGTTAAACTTCGAGGCGGAGAGGGTGAAAGTGCGGAGCATGCGCCGCAGCTTCGCTGAAACCCAAACTGCGATAATCAGCCTTCCCGTATCCCTTGCCAAAGCCCTCCTCCATAGAGGTGAAGTTCGGATTGGATGGACCATCTGCAGGATCCGGGAACGACTTGGTCCCGTGAGGTGCTTCAGATACCTAGAACCAGGGCATATTGCGATCCACTGCAAGGGCCCTGTGGACAGAAGCGGTTGCTGCATTAATTGCGGCGAGCCGGGACACAAGGCGGCTTCGTGCAACAAGGAGCCGTCTTGCTTCATATGCTCTGCGGCTGGAAGGAAGGAGACGAGGCACAAGGAAGGCGCAAGGGGATGTCCAGCCTCGAACAGTGGGTATGCGAATCCTAAGCCTGCATGCAGTTGATTCAACTCAATCTGAATCACTGCAGGGCAGCGCAGGATCTCCTGTCGCAGACGGTGCGGGAGCTGGGCTCGGAGGTGGCAGTCCTGAGCGAACCCTACAGGGTCGGTACCAGCCGCGTCTGGGCCACTGACCGCTCTGGCAAGGCGGCCTTGTGGCTCTGCGGAGCGGATGCTCCGGAGATGTGCGACACCAAAGCAGCGGAAGGCTTTGTCCGGGCGAAAGTCGGCGGCACTTGGCTGTACAGCTGCTATCTGGCACCCAGTCTCTCATTGGAGGCGTTCGGAAGGATTCTGGACGAGCTGAGCAGCGATCTGCGTGGGCGGAGCAACGTCGTGGTTGGCGGCGACTTCAACGCCTGGGCCTTGGAATGGGGATCCTCCCGGACCAACGCCAGAGGCCGAGCGGTGCTGGAGACCTTCGCCTCCCTGGACGTAGTCCTTCTGAATGAAGGCTCCCGGCAGACCTTCAGCAGGGCTGGGGTGGGCTCGGTAATCGACCTCACCTATGTCAGCAGTGCGCTGGCCAGCCGCGCCCGATGGAAGATCAGCGAGGCCTATACCGCCAGCGACCACGAGGCTATCGAGTGCTCGATAGGCGCCGCGCCTCGCACGAGTGGGTCCCTACTCCCTGATAGGAAGGCGTTCCGGCAAGACACCTTCAGGCCGCGGGATTTTGCAAATGCCCTCGAGGGCTTCACGGCAGGCGAAGCAGAAGGAGCCAACGAGACGGCCGACAAGCTGGCATGGGCCGTGGACGGCGCTTGCAGCCAAAGCATGCTACTAAGAAGGCCGTTCAGAAAGCACCACTCCCCGGTGTTTTGGTGGAGCGAGGAGATCGCGGACCTGCGCCGTAAATGCCACCGCAGCAGAAGATTGTTGCAGCGAGCTAGAGGCACCCCGCGCCTTCTTACGTGTAACGACCGCTACAAGGCAGCAAGAAAGGAGCTCAAGACTGCCATTAAGAACAGCAAACGAAATTGCTTCCTCAAGCTGTGCGACGCCGCCGAGGAGGATCCATGGGGAGGAGCCTACAGAATGGTAGTAAAGAGGCTTAATGCGGGTGGCTGTGCCCCAACCGACCCAGCGACGCTGGAGAGGATAGTTGGCTCCCTGTTCCCGAGCGGTCGGCAGGTCTTGATCTGCCCCAGCACCGAGTTGGGCGACATCCGTTGGGTCACGGAAGCTGAGGTTCTCCTTGCCGGTAGAAGCCTGAAGCCCAAGAAGGCTCGCTGCTGACGTCCGAAGTTGCCGGCCTGTTCAACAAGTGCCTTCTGGAGGGGACGTTCCCCGACAGATGGAAAAGGCAACGTCTGGCAAGCCACCAGGAGAAGCATCGTCCTACAGACCGATCTGTCTGCTGGACACGATCGGCAAGGTATTCGAAAGGGTGATCTCAACCCGGCTGAGCCAAGCCATCGAAGCCGCTGGTGGACTCTCCCCGGAGCAATATGGCTTCACGAAAGGGAAGTCTACGCTGGACGCCATTGCAAAGGTAGTCAAATTGGCGCAGGATGCCATTGCCGGAACCAGGTGGAAAGGAGGAAGCAAGTCCTACTGCCTGGTGGTCACCCTGGACATCAGGAATGCCTTTAACTCGGCAGACCGGAGCCGTATGCTAGAGTCCCTGAGGAACTTTAACATTCCTGGGTACTTGCTGAACGTAGCTCACAGCTACTTCAGCAACAGGGTACTCATGATGGACACGAGCATGGGTCCCAAAGAGCACAACGTCTCAGCCGGTCCCGCAGGGATCCGTCCTGGGTCCTCTCCTTTGGAACGCAATGTACGACGGCGTGCTGAGGCTTTCGATGCCAGTCAGCACCAACCTGGTTGGATTTGCGGACGACGTCGCTAGAGTGGTGGTAGCAAAGGAGCTAGCATCTGTGGAGGCGCGCGCGGACTCGGCCATCCAAGCCGTAAAGTCGTGGTTGGCGGTTGCAGGTCTGGAGCTGGCGGCCCACAAGACGGAAGCGGTCCTAATCTCGAGTCGGAAAGCGGTGGAGACTGCTAGCGTGCTGGTTGGAGGGACGAGGATCCGGTCGCAGAGGGCGATCAAGTACCTGGGCGTCATCATCGACACCCGGCTGTCCTTCAAGGAGCACCTGGAGTACGTCCACCAAAAGGCCAGCGGTACGGCTGGAGCGCTCTCCAGGATGCTAACGAATACTAGAGGTCCAAGGCAGTACACGAGGAAACTCCTCTCATCTGTGGTGACCGCGCAGATCCTGTATGCGGCACCAGTTTGGTCTGAAGCTGTTTCGGTCAAAAGCTACATGCGAGGAGTGGAGGCGACCTACCGGCTATGTGCCATCCGGATCGCATGCTCGTTCCGGACAATTTCGGAGGACGCGGCACTAGTGATCGCAGGGCAAGTCCCACTGACGGAGCTCATTCGGGAGAGGAAGGAGATCTCTGAATCCCTACAGGACAGGCGATCACCGCTGTCCCACGCTGAGGTGAAGCATGCCGCTAGAAGAAGGAGCATGGAGAACTGGCAAGCTCGATGGGACTCTTCTCCGAAAGGCCGGTGGACGCACAGGCTCATCCCAGACCTAGCGCGGTGGGTAGAGAGGGCGCATGGCCAGGTGAGCTTTTACCTCAGCCAGGTGCTTAGCGGCCACGGATGCTTTCGCCAGTACCTGAAGCGCTTTAGCCACGAGGCGGAAGACTGGTGCCCGGAGTGCGGCTCTGGCATAGTGGAGGATGCGCACCACGTTCTCTTCGAGTGCCGCAGGTTCGGCCTCGAGAGACAGGAACTGGAGGAAGCAGCGGGATCCTTGATTAGCGCCGAAACTTTGGTGCCGAGGATGCTGGAAGACCCAAAAGTTTGGGAAGCGGCAGAAACATTTTCCGCTCATGCCATGAAGACCCTCAGGGCGATGGAGCGAAGGCGGAAGGAGCGGCCGGAGTAGGGGCCTCCACGCCCGCGAAGCAATGCCAGGCGGCGGTACCGCACGGCGTGAGTTTCTATTCCCATGTACCTGTTCCGTCTTGTCCTAGTTGTAACTTTAAGTGTATTATAGTTTATTAGTTATTGTAAGATGGAATAAAATAATTGGAATAAAAAAAAAAAGTCGCCGGGCACGGATGCGCCGCGGCGGTGCTGCCCCGATGTACGCGTGGTGTGGGGGTTGCGGCAGGGCCCCCCACAAAATCGGATGCGGAGCGGCCACGCGAAGCGGTTGAGATTGCTCACCTGCGGCGTCACCCCGTGGTGTCCATGGATGATCCAGGGAGTCCGATCTTCCAAACCGTAGATCTGGGCCAGCGGCGAGAGCGGTGAGAATATTTCCCGCGACAACCTTCATGGTTGTTGTTGCCTCCGTTCGCGAGCTTCTCTCTCGTGGTAAATGTGGCTGCCCCCGCAGCATATGCCAGTCACGTCAGCTGTTGGCGAGATCAGATGTGACCGAGTGTTGAGAAGCTTCGAATAGTGCACAGGTCTGGCAACGCTCCGCCGCCACCAGGTGGCGCTGTGCAAACCGACCGGCAGGTGGCGCTATCGTGACAAAAGCTACCTGCTACGACGTGCATATGCGATCTGCAAATGCAAAATGTAGCATAGCTTTCAGGGCTGCTGCTCGTGATCCTTGGCAGGAGGTAGTGGAAAACGGGTGAAACCCAAACTCAAGGCTCGCACTGAGGAACACTAAGGTGGTAAAGGTCATGGAGCGGACCAATACACCTTTTAAACGGGGCTCTGGCGACCGAGCAGGAGCGGTAAAACTCCCACCTGCATAGTTACGGGGAAACCCCTGGCCAACAAGGGACCTCGCAAGTGCACACACAAGTGTAAGAGGGGCAGAGACCCGGCCAGCCCGACGAGCGGTCTAAAGGGTACGCTACCAAAGAGAAGCAAAGCCGCCTAGGAGGAGACCACCCCTGACGTTGAGGTTGAGCAGGAGATGACGCTCACTCGCACCGAGTGCGTCACCAAGCTGGGACAGCTGCTGGACGAACTCCACAGCCTGGTGCACGAGAAGCAGGTGCGCCATACCAACCTCGCAATGAAGGCGATGATAGCAGAGATGCGGAAGCTCAAAACCGGCATCGAGCAGTCAGCAGTGGAGCCCGAAAAAACGAGCGAGCCGAAGAGCGTATGCGGCAGATGCTCCCAGATTCTACCAGCTGGGAAGCCGGTAGAAAGCAAGGCACAACAGACAGCGGTAGTACCAAGGAAGGACCGGGCAGTCCAGACTGACCCGTGGAGAAGGGTCAGCCAACAAGACGGCATAGCCGGGCCTAGTGACGTCCCCAGGCAGAGGCGAGCCCCTCCAGTCCAGGCCACAAGGCAAGGCGGATTTTTGGCTATGCAGCGACAGGCGACTTCGGATGTCCTGCATCCGTGTAGCCGATGGCTTTGTGCGTGCTGAAGTTGGTGGCTTTTGAATGTACAGTTGCTACCTCGCGCCTACCCTGCCGCTGGAGGCGTTCAGCAGGAATCTCGACGAACTTTGCTACGACCTGCGCGGTAGGGCGAACGTGATAGTTGGAGGCGACTTCAATGCCTGGGCCCAGGAGTGGGGATCCACATCGACCAAAGCCAGAGGACGGGTGGTGCTAGAGGCGTTCGCCTCGACGGATGTTGTCCTCCTGAACCACGGAGAACGGCACACTTTTGTCAGAGCGGGAGCTGCCTCGATCATTGACCTCACGTTTGCGAGCAGTGCAATCTCCCATAATGTCAAATGGGAGATCAGCGACGCATATACGGGGAGCGATCACGAGGCTATCCCCTGTTCGGTAGGGGAGTCCGAGAGTCCACGCGCCGTGCTGAGACCCATCAAAGCATACCGGCCGGACACGCTATGCACGCAGCAATTCAATGACGCGCTGGAGGGCTTGTCAGTGGATGGATCAGTCGGAGCGAACGAGTTGGCGAACCAGACCGCTGCACTTGTGGAATATGCCTGCGACAGATCCGGAAACACTGGACGGCATAGTGCAAGCCCTATTGCCGGGGGAGCACCGGTGACCCTGCAGAGTAGCGCTGTGAGGCATTCCAGCGACGCCTGGGCGGTTTCGGAGGAGGAGGTGACCAGAATGGGACGAAGCGTACGACCCAAAAAGGCGCCGGGGCCGGATGCAGTGCCAAACCGTGCGCTGAAACTGGCCATCGCGTTGCACCCAAAGGAGTTTGCCGACCTATACTCAAGGTGCCTCGAGGAGGGTACCTTTCCAGAGAGGTGGAAGAGGCAAAAGCTTCTGCTGTTGGCCAAACCGGGCAAACCGCCTGGAGAGCCATCCTCGTATAGGCCAATCTGCCTTACCGACACCACGGGCAAGGTGCTCGAGAAGGTAATAGCCGCAAGGCTACATGCCGCCATCGAGAGGGCCGGAGGCCTCTCGCCGAGCCAGTTCGGCTTTAGAAAAGGGATGTCAACGCTGCACGTAATCGAGGCGGTGAAGGAGACGGCGGAATCTGCGATCGCGGGAAAGAGGTGGGAAGGCGGTTCCAAGAAGTACTGTCTGGTGGTCACGCTGGACATTAGGAACGCCTTCAACACTGCTGACTGGAATCGGACGTTGGAGTCCCTTGCAGCCCTCTACATCCCAGGATACCTACTGGAGATCGTGAGAAGCTTCTTCAGCGAGCGGACTCTCGTCGTGGACACAAACACGGGGCCCAGAGCATACGAGGTCTCAGCCGGAGTCCCGCAGGGCTCCGTGCTGGGACCCCTGCTCTGGAACACCATGTATGACGGGGTCCTGCGACTCCCGATGCCCAGCGACACCAAGATCGTTGGCTTCGCGGACGACATTGCTGTGGTAGTAGTCGCGAAGGAGCGGGCGGCTGCGGAGGAGAACGCGAATGGTGCGATCAGAGCAATCGAGGCGTGGCTCTCGAACGCTGGCCTGGAGCTAGCTGCGCACAAGACGGAGGCAGTCTTGATTTCGAGTAGGAAAAAGATCGAAACGGCGGAGGTCCTGGTCGGAGGGACGGCGATTAAATCCCAGGGGGCCATCAAATACCTGGGTGTCCTCCTCGATATAAGGCTGTATTTTAAGGAACACCTACAGTACGCCCAAAAGAAGGCCAGCGGGACGGTTGGAGCACTGTCTCGGATGCTGCTTAACACCAGGGGACCCAAGTATAGCATAAGGAGGCTGCTGACCAGCGTCATCACCGCCCAATTGCTGTATGCGGCACCAGTGTGGGCTGAGGCGTCTGGGAAAAAGTCCTACATGCGGGGAATCGAGTCCACGTATAGACTCTGTGCCATTCGAGTGGCGAG